GGGTTGCTTGAGGCCAGGAGTTTGAGAACAGTCTGGCCAACATGGCAAAACCCCATCTCTACTAAAAATTCAAAAATTAGCTGGGTGTCTTGGTGCACATCTGTAATCTTGGCTACTTGAGAGCTGAGGCTGGAGAATCACTTGAACCCAGGAGGTGGAGGTTGTAGTGAGCCAAGATTGCAACACTGCCCTCCAGCCTGGGTGACAGAGTGAGACTGTCTCAAAAAAAAAAAAAAGTTAAAAAATATATAGAGTTTAAAAATACGAATTACCAAAATATTGTAGTTTGATGTCACTACTCACTTTTTTTCTTGGATACGGAGTCTTGCTCTGTCACCCAGGCTGGAGTGCAGTGTTGCAGTCTTGGCTCACTGTAACCTCCACATCCCAGGTTCAAGCGATTCTCCTGCCTCAGCCTCCCGAGTAGCTGAGATTACAGACATGCGCCACTATGCCCAGCTAATTTTTGCATTTTTAGTAGAGATGGGGTTTCACCATGTTGGCCAGGCTGGTCTTGAACTCCTGGCCTTGTGATCCGCCTGCCTCAGACTCCCAAAGTGCTGGGATTACAGGCATAAGCCACCGTGCCCATCCACTACTCACTGTTTCTTAGCCTTTTCATTACTGATGAACTAGATTAGAACAGTAAGTGGATTGTTACACTTGACATTTTGTACTTCATCTGGAAATACTGGCGTTAAAAACTAAGTCATACTGCCATTTGTATAATATTCTTAGATCTTTATAGGTGTTTTTTCTTCAAATAAAAATTGTGTTTTTAAATGTCTTTGATATGATTGTTCAAAATGTTTGATATTTTTGTAAAACAGAATTAGAAAACCTCTGGCCCCAGCATCAGAATGGACCCTTGATTTGATTTCCTCTGACCTTTGGAAAACTGGTCTTTGGTATTAATGCTGTATGCAAGAGGACCTCATAAGGTGCTCTGGTTCTTTCAGAATGGAACATGAAAACTGGAGAGTTAGTGTCAGTGCTCAGTGAACATCTTTTGTGAGCTGTGGGTTAGACTTTGATGCTTACAAGCCACATAAATAGCAAGCCATGGACTCCATTGACTTGTCCCATTTCTCTGGCTTTCCACATTTTTCTTCCTATTCTTGTTTTGTCTCTTCATTATATTTCTTCCTCTTGATGGGTTTCCACCTCTATGTAGTATGTGTTTTCCTAACCTATTCTATTTCTGATCCTCACCCTGGGGCAGTCCTGGCCTGCCATCTTGGGAAGCTATGTTTTTAGGAGCCAAGACCAGCTTGTGAGGATGGAGGTCTGGGCTTTCAGAAGCCATGCTGCAGAAACAAACACAGGCAAAAAGTACTCTTGCCTAACAACATCTTCATTACTTTGTGGAGTATTTTAGTTTTTTCTTAATATGTTTTTAAAATTTTTTATTTTAGATTCAGGGGCGCACATGTGCAGGTTTATTATATGGGTATATTGCATGATGCTGAGGCTTGGGCTTCTAATGATCCAATTGCCCAAGTTATGTACGTAGTACCTGATAGGTAGTTTTTCAACCCTTGCCTCCCTCCCCCCAATTTTGGAATCCCCAATGTTTATTGTTACCTTTTCTGTGTCTGTGTATAAAATATTTAGCTCCTACTTATAAGTGAGAACATGTGGTATTTGATTTTTTTCCTGCATTAATTTGCTTACGATAATGGCCTTCAGCTGCATCTATGTTGCCATAAAGGACACGGTTTTCTTTTTGGCTGCATAGTACTCCATGGTATATAAGTATATTGTGGAAATTTGACCCTAAATTCTGTTTCACACAGTCTGCCTTAGGCATCTGTTCTTGGATTTTGATGTTTGCCAGGTTTGTAATTTTGATCCTGTATCATAAGCTGAAATTTAGTGTCTTAGTCATACCTTAATTCTTTCCTTCACCTGATTTTTGGTTTGTATTTCCTGCCTTGGAGACACCCAACCCCCTCAGCAAGTTGTATTAGTATCAACATCAAAATAGAGTTACCTGCAGAATATCTTAATACAGTGCTTAGTGGTGATGTTCATATTGGAAAAATTTCACAAAACAAAGTGCAGAAAAAGTCTCAGGTTGTACTCCATATACAAATGCTAGAACATCAGAATCACTTGGGAAGATTTTGAAGTCAGCAAAGGGTGCATCTAAGACATCCTAACGCTAAGAGACATGAGGTATCATACTCCTGTTTCTACACAAAAAAAAATCTGTTTGTTAATCATATTGTTTAGTGGCTACTAAGTGGTATTTTGGGTATTTTACATTTATTTTATATGATAGGTTTGTTTTTCATATTGGCATTTTCCCGAGTTTTAGAACTAGTTATTTAGGAAATTAGTTGGCGGGGCAAAGGGTTGAGTGATATGTCACGCATTATTTTAAGACATTGGAGGACAGGTTCCTCTTGAGTATTTTCATGCAGAACATCTGATTTTAGAAATATTTTATAGCAATTAAGTGGGAAATGCTCCTGTCTTCAAATCTGACCACTTACCATCGCCACTGATATTACCACCCTGGTCCATGGATCTACCGTCTATTCCCTGAACTCCTTTAATGAGCGTTTCTACCTCTATCCTTTCCGATCTGTTCCCAGCACAGCAGGCAGAAATGAACCCTCTGTCAATGTCAGGTCACTTTAGTCCTGCACATAGAATATTGTATTAGCTCCCCATTTTACTCAGAGAAAAAGTCAAACTTCATTCATTGGTCCACGTTTTCTTTTCCTATATCTCTGTAATATAGATCATAATCTGAACTGAAACTATATATTCATTAGTTGGATTTTTTGGAGTAATGTTTTATGTTTTCTATCTTAATTTTAAAAGCATGTAAGTTATCTTCCTTTAAAAGATTATTCATTTGCATGTGATTTTTAAAATTCTTTCTGCGGTTAATGGCCCTCATCCTCAGGAGACAGATACTCCGATTTTAATATATTTCCTCATTTCCGAAATGAAGATAAAAGTATCTACCAATAATACCTGTTTACCTCAAAAACCTCTATTGCCTTTTTTTCTCATCACACCTTTACTTATTTACAGAAACCTTCATTTATCTCAAATATGCTGGGACATGATTAAAGCTCTTTAAGCTATCCTGATCATAGTTGAATGGCTTGTTTATAGATTTGCAAGCAGGTTTCAAATAAAAATTCATCCTAATAAGATAAAACAAAAATAAAACTATGTCATTTTTGTGAAGGAAGAGCCCTCTCTGCAAGTGGGGTCAGGTTAGGGGAAGATTGTAGCGTGATTAATTTTATTTATGGACCCTAAAAATTGAATCTAAAATTTGCAATACATCTGTTTTTCTCACATTCTGTGGCTTTTATGTCAGTTTTCTTTAGTAAGTTTTTTACACGTGTGGATTACTATGGTTTTTAAAATTTTTTTATTAATATGATTTTTTATTAATGATTTATTTCTTCATAGCATGTTTCCCAAACATAAATACTAGACTGTGTATATGTATATCATGTTACATATTTACTTTTTATATGGTTGAACTTTTTTATTTCTGTGAATCCATTTCCTCTTCAGGTAATTTATGGGATCATCTAAAGCTTAAATTTATGTTTGAAGTCTTCTCCAAAATTCTAATTCAGATATTAATATATTATTATAGATGTTTGTCAGTCATTACTTGCAAGTTTATCTCATCACAGTTTGAAAATCTGTGTGTAAGAGCATCAGACAATATGAACTTAGTGTTAGTGTTACTTGGAAAACTTGCAGAATAAATTTAAAAATGAAAGTCTCATTTTAAATTGATTTTTCACTTTTTGCTCTAAAAATTCAAGAAAGGTGGACAGGCCAGACTGGCAGAATCCTGGCCTCCGCGGTTGGCTGGCATTTACACAGGTCTTTCATATATGATTTAATAAAAGGTGACATGAAATTCAGGAATGTAATCTATAAGACAATCAGAGAAAAACAATTTTTGAAGCACATTCTTGTCAGTATTGTATAATGCCTGTTCTGTAACTGTAATTTTTTTGTGTATCTGTCAAATGATGTTAAGCTATATTCAGTAATGAGGATAGCAGGAATTCGAGACCCCATGTTCATTTCTTTTTGTGACAGGAAGGTCAGCTTTTTAAAAAATAAGAAATGAAGAGAAATTAACATTTCTCCAGAATTACGTTTCCCTTCATTTGAGGTTATCTCTTAATTCCAGCATTTTACTGCGTTTGATACATAGGCCAAATAATGTGTTTTATTTATTTGAGGGCTTGGGGGAGGCAATGAAACTTTACAAATTTCAACTGGCATTGCAGTCTGCTGATAAGGATGGGAGTTTGCACCGCTCTGAAGAGTTTACATGAAGTAGAATTGGAAAGCAAATTGTATTTACAAAAGATAGGATGATGTTCCTAATAGGTGTTCAGAATAGACTATTCACTCTCATATTCTGCTGAGCTTTGCGAGACATAACTTCATTTCAAAAAGAACAAATCTGACTGAAGGGAAAAGCATTTCCTCTTCACAGATACTTTTCCAAAAGGGTTTACATTAAATTTTCCTGATGGGCACACAGCAGTATTTCATGTTGTATCTGTATAAACCATTAATGTGGAAAGTAAATATCTGAATAGTATACTTGATTGCTTCATGCACCAACCATTAGATTACTAGATCTCTATCTACAGTTTTGGGAGAGATGTTGCAATATGATGTTCTGGCAATAACTGTCAAAGTCATCATACTAGGATCCATTTTCATCTTGTTGAGGTAAAGTTATTAAAATGCACAGTTGGTAGGTCAGAAAGATCACTATCTCTTGTCATCTGTGGTTTAATGCTGACCTAAACCACTACTGCATAATGTCAGAATTATCACAGTGACCAGGCTGCAGAAGTACAACATGCTTCATGATTTATTGCATTTCCTGTCTGGAATGAAGATTATGAAAAGGCCAACAACTGCAAGCTACAGTGGTTTAGAAGAAAACTTAATTTCTAATTTTTATTTCTCTTTTTCCTCATTCGTTTTAGATTTTGGATTTAGCAAAGGGGACACATTACCAGGTAGCCTGTCAAAAATACTTTGAGATGATACACAATGTAAGTATTTTTTTTTTTTTTTTTTTTTTTTTTTACTTCATATCCTAATTGTTTTTTGTTACTGTGTCACATTCAGGGTTTTTAGTTGCATCAGTGGAAACCACTGTAGCTATTTTCAGCAGAAAGGGGGATTGCATGGTATTAGGTAACTTACAGCATTTATTGAACGACCAGACAACTAAGCTTGGATGCTGCAGAAGCAGGACTATTTTGTAACTAGGAGAAGCTACATCATAAGAATATCTGCACCTGTCACCTACCACTCCATATCTAGGGATGAGACCAAGGGTCAGTAAAGTTTTTCTGTAAAGAGCCAGAGTGTAAAAATTTTAGGCGTCATGGTCCATATGGTCTGCATCACAGCTACTCAAGTCTACTGTTGTAGTGCAAAAGCAGCCATGGAAAGTATGCAAATGAACAGGCATGACTATTGATCCAATAGAATTTTATTTATAAAATTAGGTAGTAGACCCAGTTTGACCCACAGGCCTTGATTTGCCAACCTCTAGACTAGATCTGGAACCTGTGCCACAGCTGCCTAGAAGAACCAAAGGCTTTTGCCATCTTCCATGCAGAAAATCTGATCCTTGTACTTGTGGCTGCCACCTGATGTTATCTTACCCTCTTCCACGTCTCATATTTATCTGCATGGCAAAACCTAGATTGCATGTGGACCCCTAACTATAAACGAGTCAGGGAAATGTGTTTGGTTTTTATCTTGCCAGCTTCCTTAGTACAAAAAAGCCTGCTTGATTATTAGAGTAAGAGTGGAATGACCCAGTCTGGCACAGAATAGATTTTGAAGTGTGTAAAGCCAATGTCACGAAGTCAGAGGCCTACAGAGATTGGGCAAATAGCCCAAAAAAATGAAGCTGCCTGAGATCAGTACCACAGAGTATGGCAGAATTATAGTGCACTGAAGATGTTTGCCCTGTTAGAGGCATTCACACTGACAAATTGTGAGGCTCTCTGCAGGCCAACAAAACACATCTCCAAGTCCAGTTCAGCCCTCTGGCCCCTAGTTTGCATCCACTGATCCTGGGAAAGACATCCAAGAATGGACTTTGGAGATCCTTGTCCTTCTTGAAACATTTTATCTCGTATGAACATATGTGTATTTTTCTGGAGTCCATGGTATTTATTAAAGATCCATGACCCTCCCCAAAAAGAAGTTGCATTTATTGCATCATCAGCTACTATGCTAAAGTTTTACAATTATTTTTATGCTTTTTATTTGGTTGTTACAAAGTAGTTTTTCTATTATGGTTATATAATTGCAGAATTTCTTACTTGATAAAGTATCTCATAGGAAAAAGATATTTTGTAATATTGCCAATAATAATAAATAATAGTAATACCAGCCAATATCTATGGAACCCTTAATGCTGTGGTCCCCAACCTTTTTGGCACCAGGGACCAGTTTCATGGAAGACAATTTTTCCATGGTTAAACAGGGGCTGGTGGGAGCACACAACCTAGATCCCTTGCCTGCGAGGTTCACAGTAGGGTTCGCACCCCCATGAGAATCTAAGGCCACTGCTGATCTGACAGGAGGTGAAGCTCAGGAGGTGAAGCTCAGGAGGTGATTCAAGTGATCGAGAGTGGCCCTAAATACAGATGAAGCTCCACTTGCTCACCCACCGCTCTCCTCCTGCAGACCACGGATTGGGTTGGGAACCCCTGCCTTAATGTATACCAAGCACAGCACTAAAATTTTTTAAAACATTAGCTCTTTTGATTGACATTACAGCAAGATACTGTATGTGTATATCCCTGTCTATGAATAAAACCTCTTTAGAGAAGTTAAACAACCTGTGTTGGATCATACTACTTATAGGGGATGGAGCTTAGATTTAAATTCAAGCTGTCTAACTCGTCTAAAGCTTGTGAGCCTAACCATCACTGTGCTGTTCTATGGTATTTGATGCTAAATTCGTAATAATGACAGCAGAAGTAATTGGCATCTTCCTGTTTATCTTCATAGCATGGTAAACATGTAGGGACTCTAACTTGCCTTACATGCTGTAATTGGTTAATGGAAGATCTGGAGCTAGAGCCCCTGTCTGTTGTGGGTCCTGTCCTCATTCTTCTATACCTAACTTTTGAAAGTATTATTCTTATTTAAGAACTTTTTTTAAAACAAAACTTCAAGGAGTAAACATCAAGAAAATAGTAAGCAACAACAAAATCTCATTTGTTTTATCACCATAGGAATCTCGCCAGATAAGCCATGTTTGGCAACACCAGGTTTAGATGACTCACTCTCTTGAAGACTGCATTTCTTAATTTGCGTGCTCCACTTGAGTTTTAATTTCATATTGTTCTTTAATCATTTATGGACCCTTTTAATTAAGAGGCCTCAGAACTTTCACAAATGAGGTCTATTATCCAACCTCTTTACTTTTTATAAAAATAAGATACGAAAATTAGATATAAACATTGAGTTTGTGGCATAATCACCAAAAAGTAAGGAGTGGTTTTTTAGTTCTCAAAATCTGCTTTTGTATTATCTCTCCTATTGATTATTCCCTCGAGCATTGCTGCTATTGCCAATCTTTAAAACTTGCTTTAGATTAATGAAGATTTTGGAAAGACATATAGCTAAATCCCCTCACATATAGAAATAGTCTAACTTAAACCACATATAAATCAACAAAATAAAAAGGCTGTTTATATTCACTAGATCTCTCACTGTGGACTTTTAGATGTGAATATCCTCCTTCATTTATTATTTTTTCTAATTTAATTTAAAAACAGAATCTATTTTTATTGTCAGGTTTCTGCCATCCTACCCCTCCCCCAAATAAAATCCTATGTTTATTTTCCGGAGGCCTCTGTGATCAAACTCACTTAAATGGAAGTTTTGAAGATGAACCAGTTAATTGATATCATTTGCAGCAGCATTATGATAGTTCCATATGGCTTTTTTGGTAATACCAACTGCCTCATTTTAAGCTGTCATTGCAAAACCTCTTGATTAAAACCCAAATATCCCATAGGTAAAACAATATTGCTTTCATTCCTTCAAAATCAGCATTTGCAGCGGCAGAAATATGAGAGCCATGTTTGTGTGAAGGTCATTGTGTGCAGAATGTGCTGATGCCAAGCAAATGTTTGAGAGAGATTCATTTAGTAGATGTTAAAAGCTGGCCTGCTTGAAACCTGTTTTCCTCTGTATTTTTAGGGTCAGTGTTTAAAATAATTTCATACTAACAGTATATTCTTTACTTTCTGCATGTTCCATGTATAAATGAAAACACTAGGTCATGTGTAGATCAACCACAGAATTTTAATAGAAAATAATGTTTTCAGAGGTAGACCTCTTTGGACACTGAGTAACTGTGGGTACTTATTTTCCAAGTGGCTGAGGATAATTTTTACCCACCATATAAATCTCTAGAGAAATCTTATTAAAACCTATCACCCATTTTCCTGCAATCTTAAACAGGATATATGTGATACAATTAAGCCCTTTTATAATCACTCAGGGTCATCATTATGGATATCAGTTAGAATGCTGGGCTAGAAGCCACCATCATCTCACTTGGATCACTGCAATAGCTTCCTAACTCATTTCCCAGCATCTACACATGCCCCATTCCAATTCTTTCTCCTCCACACAGCTGCTGGAGTGACCTTTAAAATAGAGGAATCTGATCATTTCAGGAACCTGCTTTTTAAAACCTTCAGTGGCTTCCTATTTCTCTTCAGATGAAATCTAAAATTTTTAATGTATCCTCTAAAGGCCTCCACTCCACCTACCTTCCTCTAGACTCCTGAACTTGTTTCAGATCCTTCACAGGACATTGGATCTGAAACACTAGGACCAAGCTAGTGTGGTAGAATGCAAATGCTTCACAGAATGTTCCTGTCTCAATACATAAAATAATGCACAAAACATAATTTTAAAAATCATCAACCACAAAGAAAAACATCACCAATGGCCGGGCGCGGTGGCTCAAGCCTGTAATCCCAGCACTTTGGGAGGCCGAGATGGGCGGATCACGAGGTCAGGAGATCGAGACCATCCTGGCTAACACGGTGAAAACCCCATCTCTACTAAAAAATACAAAAAACTAGCCGGGTGAGGTGGCGGGCGCCTGTAGTCCCAGCTACTCGGGAGGCTGAGGCAGCAGAATGGTGTGAACCCGGGAGGCGGAGCTTGCAGTGAGCTGAGATCCGGCCACTGTACTCCAGCCCGGGCGACAGAGTGAGACTCCGTCTCAAAAAAAAGAAAAGAAAAGAAAAGAAAAACATCACCAACAGTAACCAAAAAAGAAAACGGGCAAGGAAAGCCTCACAGACAAAGTCGTGAAAATGCTCGCTTAATATTTCCAAACGGAGTAAAGGAAATAGCTGCTGACTTGAGAAGAAATAAGTGAAATGGAGGATTTAGATGTGGAAACCTCTATTTCTGTATTCTTTTTCCTAATTTAATTTTAAAGTAAGATTTCCATTTTGTTTACTTTATGCTCTTCCCCTTCCCCCCACATACCAAAAAAAACCCCTAAGTTTATTTTCCTAAACAAGACAAAAGGAAACTGAATGACAGCCATATACACTTCCTTTAAAAATGAAAATGAAAGAAACACTCAGAACACAAAGAACGCGTCCTAGAAGAAAATATAGAATTCTATAAAAAGGAAACTTCATAATTTCATTTTACTATCAAGCAACTTAGTAGCTCACAATGAACATCACAAAATGAGTTAAGGACAATTGCAGATCAAGAAAAAGGAGAAACAGCATCACAGAACCTTGGCACAAATCCTCCCTTCAAGGCCCTTGGCACTGTTTTAGTGGTTAATAAAAAATATGAATTACCTTTGGAAAAAAGGCAGCAGTCCCGGTGAGGGGCTTATAGATAAAATCCCCATCTCCCTGGGATGGAGCACATGGGGGAAGGGGCGGCTGTGGGTGCAGCTTCAGCAGACTTAAACATTCCTGCCTGCTGGCTCTAAAGAGAACAGCGGATCTCCCAGCTTAGTGTTTGAGCCCTG